CTAGCAATAATACTATTTATAATCGAGTATTGGGTTGGACTTAAGGTGAAGTTCATGATAACTTTTTAAGTTGAAATAATATTAAGGAAGGTTTGTGTTGCCATAGTTTCTATTGTTGATTATATTTGTCTAATAATTGAACTAAAGTCTCTATAATGTATACTTTTTTCTTCTTAACAACCTGTAAAAGTTTGTGTTTCCTCATAGCATGTTGATCATGTAATAGGGAGTAAGTTGACTGTGTTTGATATTGTTATGTTTTGCTGATAATTGTTACTATATTTTTTTAGACACGTATTGCAGATTTGTTTATTCCTTATTATTATTTTGGTAATATGAAAAAATTTTATTATTTGTTGTGATATGTTAGTGATATTTATTTCATGTGTATATTGTGATAGTATTGTTGATATTGTTGATCTATCAATAGTAAACATATGAGTTATGGGGTTGTTAATAATTGATTTGTGTAAATATGTAGAAAGTATATTAATATTGTTTATTTAATATATCTTTTGAGTTTGTTATAAAAAGTATATATGTCTATATTTATATGACATAATATTATTGAAATGCTGTTATTGTGATATATGTATTTATTTACTATATAGTTAATAAGATTTGAATGTCCCTTTAGATTTTATGAGTATTTGGATTTGAACTGATTTATCAATTTGAGTTATTATCTATGAAGTTTTTCTTAATATCTAAAAGGGTGTTAACCTACACTGACTTGACTAAGAGCTTTGTAAAGTTGATGTTGAACTTCCAAGAGCTTACTGTAATTTAATCTTTTTTGTTGTTTTTCTTTTTCTAAAAGAAAAAATTTATATAGTAGAAGTTAGTAATTTTATAAAACTTGTTTCTTCTGTACTCTATAAAGAGTTTTTGATCTTGTTTTTATAAGTTGTTTAGTTATAAAGGTAGTTTTTCTTGTTTTTTTTGGCTGGTTTCTCTTTTTCTCAAAAAATTATCAAAAAAAGAAATTTTTTGAAAAATTGGGAATCAGTAGTATAAGTTTAAGTTGTGAATACAAATTATTATTTTAAATCAATTTATTAATATTTAAATAAGAATAATTAGAAATAAAAAAATAGTTCAAATACTTTTTAACAATAGAAAAAAATTGAATTTCAATATAATATAAACAAGTTTTTATCCAAGTTATAAAATTAATATTTGTTTAAAAACTTATTTAAAAACTTAAAATAAATTAATTATAAAGTCTAAACTAAAAAATATTATTTTAATTAAATAAAAAAAAAATATATTGAAAAATTAAAACAGATTTCTTACTAAATACAATAGAAAAGATTAAGATTTTTTAAAATAGTATTAATTTCATATTATATCACTTAATTATTATTTTATTATCAATTATATAAAATATTAATCAGATATAATAAAGCAGATATCTCTACTATTCTTATTTAAATTCAATTGTTGCCTTAATTAAACAAGTCTAAAAACATAAAAACAAAAAAGATATTTATATTTTTAAACAATCTAACAGACTATTTATATTTCAATATTAAATAAATTAGATAATATATTATAAATACAAGTTTTGTAAAAACAAAAATCTATATTAAATACCTAGTATATATACAATAAAGACATGCCATACTGACCTGATTGCGGATAAAAAAAAAAAAAAAAACAAAACAAAAAAACAAAAATCTATATAAAAATTAAGAAATAATTATTATAAAATAAATAATTCAATTAAAAGAACATATTAATAAATTATAAATTATTTTTAGATATAATTAGAGAAGTAACTTTAGAAACTTTACTTTTTATATTAATAGATCTTTTAAAAAATTAGTTAAAAAATCTAAAGCAAAATTTCAAATAGGACTTGTTTAAATTTAGATTAAAAATAATATTATTATTAATCAATTTTTAATAAGGACTTTATTATAGTTATCAATAGCAAAAACAATAATACCAACAATTTTAATAATATTTCTTGTTATATTACATAATATTTTAAAATAATTAAACATATAAATTATAATACAACTATTAAGATATAAAACATTATATACTTATAAACTCCTAATGGAGTGATAAATAATTTCCAAAGTTGCACTTAGAGTAGTAATTACAAAGACGAGTGAGCTAGTTAGCATTTTTTAACTTTAGTGATTCATACTATATGTACAGTTTACAAATGTTTAATAAAGCATACATAACTAACCTGACAGAGGGTTAAAAAAAAAAAAAACATTATATACTTATATTTTTTTATAATATTAAAAATATAGATTAAAATAATATTTAATTGATTATATTGAATATAAATTAAAAATATAATTCAAAAAGCAAAATTTTTTCTTAAAATTAAAAAAAGTTAAAGTTCATAAGATAAACAATTTTAATAATAAAGTTGATATCTTTAGTTAAACAAAAGAATATTATAGCATAAAAATATTTATTAAACTTAAAAGAAATCTTTTTAAGTACAACTTGAAACAATCTATTTATTAATATTAATATTAAAGATTTTATTAAAAACTAAAATTAGAAAAGTATTGAATCGAATAAATCAAACAAAGAAAAATTCAAAACCAATAAAAAAGTAAAAAAAACTAAAATGGATTAAAAATTTTTATAAAATCAATTCAATTTATAACATATATTTTACGGTGTTTATTAAAAAAAAAATAATACCCATTCACTGATTATTTTTTTGATATTTTTTCAAAAAAATTATAAAAATACAAAAATTTTCTTAAATATTTTTATAAATCAATATCTTTAAAACAATTATTTATAGAAAAAAGATCAAAAACTATTATTTTATTAAAAAAATTTTTAGTTTATACTAGATTGCTATTAAAATTGATAATAATATTTATTATTAATATATTACAGTATATCTAAACTTAAAAAAAACATTAAAAAACAAATAAATTAAAAAATAAACTTATTTTTAATTGTTTATTCAAACTTACTTTATATAATAAATACAAATCAACTATAAATATATATAGATTCTTAAAAAAAATATGAAAAAATAAAAAATATAAATTTAAAGTATATATATAGAAAGAAAGAAAATTTTTTGAGTAAGAAATATAAAAAAATCTAATTGAAATTTGCAAAAAAATTTAAAAATTAGATTATAAAAAATTAAAGTATAATGGTTTGATTTGATAGAATTAAATTTTAACTTTTTGAAACTCAAGAATAAAAATATTGTTAAAAACTAATCTATAAAATCTTTAAAGAATTATCATATAATTTTTACAATTAAATTTTGATAAAAATAGCATTAATTTATAAAAATGTTTTACTTACTTTAATATAAGATAATTGTCTAGAATTGAAAAAAACCTTAATAGTAATTTCTATAAACAAATTTTAAAAGATAAATTGATCTATTTATAAGATTATTATAATTTAACTTTCAAAAATATCATATTTTAATATAATAATAATTCAAAAAATAAGATAAAAATAGTTTAAAAATAGTTAAAAAACAAAAAAATTAAACATATTTTTTAATTATCACAATTTTTAAACTTAAATTTAATAAAAAATATTTGAATTTATATAAAAAGAAGTGTTAATGATTTAAATATTAATATTAAGAATAAAAAAACTCTTTATAATAATTTATTAAAGATTTGGAATCAAATACCTAAAAAAGTTTATAAGAAATATATAAACCAATATTTAAAAGAATCAATAATATTATTAAAACAAAAGGTAATTATATAAAATAGTAATAAAAATCTATAGTAATGACCCGTAGACAATGATTTTATTAATTAGAGGAATCATCCAAATTAGTAAAGAAGTGAAATATCATTTCCTAGGTTACATTTAAAGAAATAGTTTTTTCAATGATGAGTGAATCAGTATGTGAAAGTCACAACAATTTGTAAATATCTAACATATATAAAATAAAGACATGCTATACTGACCTGACTGTGAATTAAAAAAAAAATAATAATAATAAAAATAAAATAAAATAGTAATAAAATTTATATATATTTATAGGATTTTAAATATTATTTTTCAAAAATAAATGAATAAAAAATTTTTTTAAAAAAGTAATTATACTTTTGTTTATGTTATAAATTTTATCATAATCTAATTTAATTTAATTAAAATTGATAAATAGGTGTTACATTCTTTTTGACAAATACTATATATATTTTTAAAAATTAATAGGAAAAAAAGTTTTTTAATAAACTTGATATATAATAAACTATCCATACTTTAAATATTTAAAAGAAGAAAATATAATATATACTGTATTTAATAAAATTTGTTAAGATATAAAAATTTAAAAAAAACAATTGAATGCCTATTTAAGTATTCAGTAATCAGTTTTAATAAAATAAAATCAATTATTATAAAAAAATTAATAAAAAATTTTATCAATAAATATAAAAAAAAAGATTTAGAATATTCATTATATTGCTATAATCAAGTGAAAGAAAACTATAAATATAATATAGAAAAATAAAAAAATTGCAAGATTTCAAGAAACAAAACTGATAGTATCATAATAGATTTGAAAAAAAAAAATATTTTAATACTTGAAAAGAATTAGATAAAAGATATACAGTATATTTCAAAAACATCTATATATAAGAAAAATTAATTAAATTTTTAATTTATTAAACAAAACTTTGGAAAATTTACAATAATGACCTACGGTATAAGCATTGAACTTTATAGTTAAAAAATAATTCCAACATTAAAGGAAGAAAAATATTATCTCCTGAGTTTATTTAAAAATTTTTTTCAATAATGAATACGCTGATATGTGAAAGTTATTTAAATTATAATTATTTTTATTAATTTATAATAAAAACAAATCATGTTAGCTTGATGAAGAGTTAAAACTCTAGCTAAAAAAATATAGGGAAATGCAAAAATTACGGGTTAATGAAACTGTTAATGAACGAGTTTATTAAAGAAACGTGTGTGTGAATGAATAGTTAAAAATAGAAGTATGAATACAACTAATCCGACCTGTTATGTCACGTGACATAACTGCATTTATTGCGTACGTAATATTATACTTGAAATTTCACTCGAACATGGCTATCCATGCTGAAACTGCGAAATTGATCAAGAATTTTTTTTCTTCTTCCCATTATGTTGTTGTTGGCGCTTCTTCGATACCTTCAAAATATGGAAATAAAGTTTTAAAATGGTTAGCAAGTTTGCATTCTAGTTTCACGAAAACAGATCGAGTATTGATATTATTGTACGTTTGGAACTAGGTACATAAACAATAATTACTCTGTTACGCCTGTCAATCCGGTTTGTTTTGAAAATTATTATATACTGTATATCATGGGATGTGTAATAGTTGTTCGTTATAGTTTCTTTTTTTTTCTTTTAGAATGAAGATGAAATCGATGGCCTAAAATGTGTTCCAAATTTGTCATCAATACCAAATATTGATCCTAAAAATATTTCTGTTTCTGTTATAACCCCTCCAAAGGTTTCGAAAAAGATTCTGGAGGAGGCAGCAGAGGTAAAAATTGGTATTTTGTCTTTCTTTTTTTTTTATTTAGATTCATTATCTCAAAAATACTTTTTTCATGAAGTTGGGAATCACGCGTATTTGGTTTCAACCGGGGGCTGAAGATATTGAATGTCAAAATTTTGCGAATCGAGTTAACATTCATTTAATTAGTGGAGGACCTTGTGTTCTAGTCAATGGGTATAGATCGCGACTCTAGTTCAATATGTGCGGATGTGTAATATAATAATTTTCATTTATTTTAAATTGCGAAGATTCTAAATCTATTACTCTACTTAAGTATAAAATCTGATAATTATGCCACAATATTATTAATAATACACGTGCCATCTAATGGATTATGCCAAAGTTTTCACCCGCTGCATATAGTGTTCATTTTTCAAGTTTCGTCGCATTTGTATCATAATCATCATCCTCCACTTCGACCATCCCCTTCTCCAATTTTTCGTATGCCTTCATATTTTGTCTAGTGCTCCTGCTTTCTCGATCTTTGATCCATGTATAATAACAACTTCCTGCGAGAATTAAAGAGATACCGCCTACACGCCCGCTAGTTAGAATTTCACCGAATAGAAGTGCGCCTAACGCAGTTTGCACCACGCCTCTAAATGCGGACGATATCATGTGAGTAACTGGAGAAGTGACTTTTATTTGGAGAAATCCGGCGATGTTGATCAGGAAGCCGAAGAATCCCTACAAAAAAAGAGATGATAACTTTAACCATCCGTCTATATTTAAATTTGATTGTTCAACGTACGTACCGTTACAAATATGCCGCAGACGAAGGTCTTCAGTGAAGAATGATATTGTTCTGAATCGGATAATAGTTTTGCGACCTCGGCCTGCTCGTTGAAAAGGAGAACTAATGGAGTAAACGCAATAGTGCTGAGAAGATTGTTATAATAAACAAGTTCCATGGTTCTCCCTTGTACGACGTCTAAACTCTTCTTTATGACGACAGCATGTAATGCCGTGGAAACGGATGAGAATATGCCAAAGATGATCCCGGCCAAAGAGACAGTTAGACGCTCCGATGATATGCCAACAACAAAACCCGCACAAACGATGAAGCACGATAAAAGGATCATTGCTGATGATTTTTGCTTAATAAAGATGTACGAAAATAGAACTGTAAAGGGAAGCACTAATGCACGAGCGACCTTTACGGCGCAAAGAATCAAATTAATTTATGATGTATTAAATATCGATGGTTATTGTATAAAAAAAAAAAAAAAAAAAAAAAAAACCAAACCTGATAGAAGCTGGCATCCACGTATTGCAAACAAATGGTATTAAAACTGAGTCCCAAAACGTTTATAGTGACAAGAGGCAACAGTCCTATACACACTTCTTTTTGAATTTGAGGTATTGGGAATAGTCCGAAGAGTGAAGAAACATGCAAAAAAACTATTGCGAGAAAAACTTGGAACCACAGTAAGGTAAAGGGTAATGCAACGCTGTTCAAGACCCACTATTCCGTAAAAAATATTTTAAAGTTTAGTAGCTGACATTTCAAGCGTGCCTGTTGCCGACCACAAATTAACATCAGATTACCTTGTTTACGAATACCATCACAAGGGCCGTGACGATATAAAAAGATACCGAAAAGGCCACCATCTTACGACTAGGTGGTGGTGCTTGCGTTTGGGTCATATTTGCGCTATGCCTTGTTGTGAGGGAAGGAAAAGAGTGTATGTATGTGTGAAAGAAAAAAAAGAAATGAATAGGATGTAAAGATAATGTTATCACATTTGGTATTACATAAAATGACTGTGTTACCTCGTCGTTTTGATTGGGAGATCATTTATTACTTTTGAAATCAAAGATTCGAATTCAAGTCTTTTTTTTTTTTTTTTTTTTTTTTTTTTAATCGACATTTTTTTTAATATAAGATGAAATGTGAAGGTAATAAATAGGCTAGTTAATAATAAAAATACAAGTAACATAAATAATTTATACCCAAATATTGCAACTATTTTATTTTACATTGAAGTATTCACACTACCTCCTGAAGGTAAAATAACCGATCCGCCATCATTCACATGGTCACCATTATCTTTTTTTACTACTAAAGCAGCATTCTTAACGTCGACAGGACTTAAAAAAAATAATACAACCCCTGTGAGGATTTCTTGAAGAAATCCACTGAACTTTCGTTCATGCTTACTTTTAGTTTTATCTGTTCCGCGCACTCCGAATGTCGGTTGAATGTTAGGACTGGTTGACCCCGAACTATTATGATTACCATCGGTGTTAGTCCCAACCTGACCTTTACTAACATTCAATTGAGAATTCATGGTGCTTGCCCACACACGAAGCGAGTCTTTATACTCCCTAAGAAGTGACTTCATGTTTTTCTTAATAACATTTGATGCTTTTGTGAATTTCCGATCAACCGTGTCAAATTGTTGGTTGACCATTTGTCCTGCATCTCGAACAACTGCATCATACGCAATATTCAAATCTACGAGACGTTTGATCTTGTACTTCTCCATCAGATGCTGCTCTAGAATATCGTTGGGATAGACCACTTTAACCTCGTTGCTATCTAAATCTACATCTCCGTTACGCAATCTTTCAATGAGAGCTTTAAAATGACGCTGTGCTGGTTTGTAATGCCCGCTGTTGGGATTGATTTCAAGTAGCTTCCCTTGATCAACCTTGATTCCACCGGCAGCACATATGGCACCTCCTGCGAGGAATGACGAATGATGAAAGTGACCTTTTTGCTTTCGGCCCACATAAAATCTTTCTTCACAATCGGTGACATAGATCCATTTTTCCCGTACAGCAACATTACTATTGCTTGCCTCGCTGTCATTGCGATTGTGCGTGGGATGAGAAAACGGTTGCTTATCTTTACTTTCTTTTGGACTGCCCGATAAATTGGGCGCAGGCGATTTTAAAACATTAATATCATTTTCTGATGTTTCAGCAGACGTGCTTGATGGATTGGTGTGAACGGGTTTCTCACTTTTCTTGTATATCAGCAGTCCATCCTTGAATGTCACCTCATAATCTAATCGCTCTTCGGGTGAAAGGTACTTGACTCGTTGTTCTTCGAGCTTACTTCGTGTGCAACTTTCGAAACTTACATCCTTCCCCGCTCCGTCTAGCCATTCAAAGAAGTTTTCCTGTGTATTGGTGTGAAGCCAATAATCATGATATACCTATTTAACAGGGAACAGAATTATGTCACATCGACACAAGCTATTCATCAAAAAGTTTCTTTATTTATTCTGGCAAACCTTGAGATTCGACCCATATCTATGCTTTGCATCACAAATCTCTAGCCAATGTTCGGTGTCTAATATTAGCCAGAGATGATTCTTCGATGAACCCTAGAATTTAATTAAGGAGAAAGCGAAATTAATGAGGTAGGTCGACAGTCTCTAAAGACGCACGTATACGAATCAAATATACCTTTCCAATACGCTCAACTACGGATACAGCGAGTTCTAACTTTTGATTTGTATTCAGAGGACCATCCGTGTTATTTCTTCTATGTATTTGTTCCACGATGATATCAAGTAATTCTTCCCAACGTGACCACACCTCACAAGTACCAGGTAAATGCAAGCACGCTCCTGTGACTTCAACTTTCTTAATCTTGTCTCGCGACCTGGCGGATAATATCTTTCCTTGTTTTTCTCTGGAATTGCTGTTTTAATTTGGACGTACAAAAAAGGTAAGTACGAATGCCCGAAATTCTACTATCAAAATTTTTTTTTGAATTTGCTACCGATAATGGCGAAAAGCGCTCGCTATTTTTTTTGCCGAGGCTTTGTCCGCGTTTTCACTCTGTGAAATGTGGGTTGAAGCGACTTTTAGAATACTCGAATCATCTTGAACCCCGTTTCGGTCCTGATTTGCGGTGGCATTCGCGTTTGGTAGAGGAGTCTCGACGCTAGTCAAAGTTTGCGACATTACATTTCCCTCCATCTTGGGAATATTACGTTGTGTGTATTCCTTGAGAAACCGCAAATGTGAGGGAAAATTTTTCGGGGTCATATCTTGAGGCCCGTGTACGCAACGCCCCGAGCCCCATTTTATCCGTTCCGCAACTTACTTTTTATGTTATACAAACAAGCCTTTAACTTAAAAGTCGTCAACGCGGACTTTTTAGCCCGCAATGGCACAACATTAATCGTTTTAAATTCTCGATATAAGTGTTGTATATAATATAAATTAATCAAACAAATTTTTTTCTACGCATACAGTATATTCATTACTCAAAAACTTTAATTGCAAGAAAATTTTTATTTAAAATTTTTTAGTAAATTATACTATTATATTTAGAATCATTATCTTGTTAAAGCATCAATTGTTTTTCAAATAACTCTTTCACAATTTTGCAAAATATTAATATAAAATTTTATATCCATAATTTTTTTAATAAATCTTTAGGCATTCTTTTAATAGATTTTATATTTTTCATACTACTAAATATAAGCTTCTTTATAAGCAATAATGTGCATAAGTATTTCCAAAGATAAGTTATTTTTATTAAATATCTTTTTTTTTTTTTTGTTTAATCCACAGTCAGGTCAATATAGCTTGTTCATTTTATTATAAATATATTTAGTATTTATATATTTTATGACTTTCACATATTGACTCATCTATTTATAAAGTTTAGATGCAACTTAAGAGATGATATTTTGCTCCCTTTGTGGCTTGGATTATCCTCTAGCCACTCAGATTATTGCCTACAGCTTATTACTATAGATCTCCTGAAGTTCTAATTGTGATTAAAAATCAAACCATTTAAAACCTTTAAATATCCAACTACTTATTATATCTACTATATTGCCTTGGAACTTCATTCATTCTAAGTTTTCTTCTTTTTCTATTATATTTCCAAGGGAAAGAATTGAGGAGTAATTGGCTTCCTTAGGGACTTGATCCATTTTTCTAGTTATTTCAGTTGATACTCTAAACCTTTTGAGTTTGTTAATAATTCTTTAATTTTGTTCTCATTCAATAATAATACTATAATACTGGTTCAAACTTCCTTTTTGAAGGTCTTCCTCATTTTTTTACAAAATTTATCAATAGCCTTTTGTATTATTATTGTTGAGATCTTAAAAACTTTAAGGTACTTTTTCAGGATCTTGATCTTATTTTTGTATATAAAGACACAGATTGTATTATATAGACTTTTATCTTATTATTTAATGTCCTGAATCCATTTCTCTATTACTCTTTTAATTTCTGCTTGGTTCTTGTCAGATAAATCTTTTGTTTTTCTAATATACTGAAGAATTTTACTTTGAGATTTATCTCATATAATTGATCTTTCACTTTGAGTTTTGGAACATTCAAAAAGATGTTTTAGGGTTTCCTTTTACAATTTGCACATTGAACATATTATATTTAAATATAAGTCTGATTTTCTTTTCTACATTACTTAGAAGATAGGAAATCTATTATAAGTTAGATTTACCAGAAAACTCTTGTCCTTGTTAATGCTAAAAAAGATGTAAAAGATATTGTATAGATTAAATTGTCTTCAGAAAATTTGTCAGTTAATTTCTTTAATAGAGTATATTCATTGATCTTGGATATGTTTTTGCTTTATCCAGGCTAGTCCTATTTTCTTAGTATTTTATTTTTTAAGAAAATCTTTATACTGATATCAATAGTATGCTTCTTCCAAGATACTATTGTAAAAACTTGATCCAGATCAAGTGTTTGTTATCAAATTAAGGGTTTTCTCTTCTGATCTGCTTTGTTAACCTATTTATTACATTGTTTAACTCATTGTTTTAATAGATCTTGATCTTTTCAAGTATAAGATAAAAGTTTTTCTTTTGTATTAGATTTTTGATTTGGTTCTATAGTAGTCAGTTGATTATTTTAGTCTATTTCCTTATGGAAATAAACTTTTGTGACTGGATTGTCTTTCATATCTTGATAATTGTACTACAATCTATATATATGATTGCTTTTCTATTTTCAGGTATTGTAAAGATTACAATAAGTATGACTAGGATTTTTGTTTTTGTAGCTGATAACCATAATGTTGTTCCTGCTGAGAATTGATTGGTTATTATGTTGTTCTCAATTTGAATCCATACAAAACTCATTTTGAGTTCACCCTTGTTTTTTGTACATTGTTTGTAAAATCCATCAGTAAAGAAAGTGAATTGCTTTGTATTACTTTTATAGTTGTGTCTAAAACTTTTTATTGGATCTGTCATATATTCCTCTGATTATATGGCATATTTAATCAGTTCAACTTCCCAATTCTCTATTTGTATCTCAATCTCTTTTGATCCTAATAAATATATAGTATTTGATTCATTTTTGATACTGTAGATTGCCAGTCTGTGGGGTTTCCTAGAAATATAAGTAATTCTTTTTTTTTTAATTTTTCTTACCTATTTAGTTGTAGTAGTAATCAGGTTTGAGATATATATGAAATTGTTGATTGTTTGGATATATAAGGATAACAAGTAGTACTATTTGTAATAGGATTGTAGGTAAACTGATATGATATGAAAAGACTTCTCTATTTTATATTTTGACTTTCTCTATAGTAGTTCCTGTTGTTTTAATCAAAACTCTCTAATTGATTTTCCATTTATTCATTTTAGAAGCCACTTTTACCATTTGGAGTTTGTGTTCAATCCATTTTAGAGTTTAGTAGAACTGTTTCAACAAGTTTTGTTGTTCTGTCACCTTTACTTTAATTTGTGTATACTAGCTTAAAATGATATCTTTACAAGTACTAACAAAAATTTGGACTACTCTTCATTTTCTTATTGTTAGTTGATCTAAAAATATTATTTTGTTTCTTTTTAGAGAAGGGATAGCTTTCATATATTCTTTCTCATCATTTATAATTGTCTTGATAGACATGGTACCTCCTTAAATATCAATAATTTTTTCCATCTCTAGCCATTATATATAATCTATAACTTCTTTGCTATAGCCAAAGTTACAGTAGTAAGATAATCTTTCTCAATTGTCTTGATTTCTACTGAATTATCAAGTATGTTTTTGGGCTCCCAATATTTGAGTTGACTTTGTTTAAATCAAATAACTATTAAATTCCTGAAGCTTTACTATTATTTAGTTGATAGAATAGTATTATTATATAACTTTCAAGTTGAATTTCTCATATACTTTTAAGCCCATATATTTGTTTGTTGTGTATAAAACTATTTGACATTGTTCTACAAATTAAGGCTTTGTTTTTGAAAGCTTTTTTATATATGGCTATTAAATTATTGCAAACTTTCTTATTAAGGAGTGTGTACTGCATTTTATACTCTATATGAGAGATTAGAAATCTATTGATAATGTACCTGGCATATTTTTCAATTAGGCTTTTGTTATTAATTGCTTGAGTTACTGTTCTAATCTCTATCTTAAGTAGATTAAGAGTATCCCAATTGTTATATATTCTTCCTAACCAGATATCCAGGAATCTTGTTTGATTATATTTATCTAGTTCTTTGACTATTAATTTGTCTGTCCCTATATAAACTATGCCTAGGTTTGTATTATTTTGGTTGAAGATCAGGAGAATAGATTTTTCACTATTGATTTATGAATTATTTACCTGGTAAAATTGTTTGGCATTTTCAAAAATATGTCATATCTACTTTGGATTTGGCAATTCAAATAGTATCATCCATATATGCTATCACTGCTTGTTTTCGAGAAAGGTTTTTTTTAGGATGTGACTTTTGGAAGTCCAATATCTATTCTTCTTCCATTGTGTATCCATACTTTAAATTTCCTTAAATTTTGTATAATAATGGATTATAAAAAATCCTCCAGAGTAAAGATGAGATTGTTTTCTCTTGATTCATTTCATCACTAGCTATAAATGGATCTGAAAGCTCTGTTAAAAGAATTGTTCTGTATTTTTTATTTTCAAAAAAATCTATGATCTATTGTCTACTATAGTTAGAATATAGATTCTGTTTATAGATCTTTCCAATATCTTGAGGTTGATTATATTATATACTTTGACTATATCCTAAAAAAGGATCCATGGTTCCTTTTTCTTTTCTCTAGCTTCTTCACAGATACTGTTTAGAAGTTGGATAGCTTCAGCTATACTTTTTTCTTTTAAGCTAGCAAAATTTGATCCTCATGGGATTTTGTGCTTTTTACATATACTGGTAAGTTTATTAATTAATATTTTGATAAAACAATTTCTTGTTATCTCTAAAGATGGGTCCTTAAAGGAGGAGGCAGAAACATAAGTCAAATATCTCTCACTAGGAAAAATTAAAAATTTTAAATTAATAACTATAAAAAAACTACCCACAATTGTTTTCCATTATCTAAATCATTAATTTATAGCATTTCCAGACTTTTGTCCCTATTAAAGTGAAGAGCTATGAATTTTGTCCCTCAAAAAGTGACATAAGTGATCTGCGAAATTTTATATGCTAAATACTTTAGGGATCTATCATTAGTTATCTCTAGCAATATTATGGATCTTGTATTGCTTAAACTATGTTACATGGTTTTGACTTGGATATTGAATAGATATTACTTTTTTTTATTTTCTTGGTATATAGTTCACCTTAATTATTTGATTGTATAGTTACTTAAGAGCTTTTTTTCCTTGAGAGCTTAAGTTTTTAAGTATTTTATAATCAATATGGGATGGACCAGATGCTTTCTTTTTAGGAAGGTTTCTTAGTGTTGTCTTGATCTCATTCATTGTGATTTCTTCCTATAAAAGAGAATACTATATTGGATTTATTCAATCTTTTGATTAATATTCCTTTTTTTATTCAGAATTAAGGCTCTCATGGTTAGTATTTCATTGCTTAAAAGTTTTTTTGTAATAGTTTTCTATCACTTGTTTAATTGTTTATAGATTTATAACTATATATTCTTATCCATTTTGATTTCTGGCCTTAACCCGATCTAAGGTTATTTTGAATTTTTTTTGATTTAGAAGAAAGTATAGCATTCATTTTTTATTGCTTTTGAGATCT